CTGTGTGGCTCTAATTCTGCAGCGATCATACAGTGGTTTTTAAATGCTCTGTAATATACCTTACCTAGTAAAATTTGAGCTCCATTTGGACAGCGTGGTGATTTCTGAGAAGTCCTTTTCTTATTAGAGAGTTCCATTCTAGTTAGCATAGGCCTCCTCTTTTGTTTGGACCCAAGTTCTTTATGTTTGATGTCACGTGTATACAAAGCAGGGAAGGTATATAGCTCCTCTGTTCTTGCCTTGATTCAATGCCCATTCAAGTTCTTATTCTGGGATCTTTTTGGACTTGTCTAGTATTTAGGAGTTTCGATCCTTAGATAAAAGAAAATTAGCTTTTACACAAGCTAAATTCATTTCCCATTCATGTACCTTGTCCATAAAATATTTAATAAGGAATGACCACATACTTAGCCCTGTGTAAGAAAATAAAAAGAAAGTTTATATATGAGTCTTGCTCTTTAAGGGTCAACAAGGCAAGGTTGCAAACAGTAAGTAACACTGCTACTTTACTAATGCTATTATTATTAAGAACTATATTGGTTATTTATATTTTTTTGTTTGCAAGTATGCAAGGACAGTACTCGAGTAAAATAGCCAGAAATTCTAGAAGAAATTCTCAGCTTGTTTTTCTAAGATGTACATAGTGACAGAACTGGACTTACAAGAAGGCTAGTCCGTATTTGTTTCACATCCTAGACTTCTACATCATCAGCCATGGCAAGTTCTTCCCTAGTTGTGACAGATGAAATACATTTTTATTGAGTTATCCTGGCCTTTTTTTTGTTTGTTTTAATATTTTATTTATTTATTATGTATACGGTCTTCTGCCTGCATGCCAGCAGAGGGCACCAGATCTCATTCAGGGTGGTTGTGAGCCACCATGTGGTTACAGGGAATTGAACTCAGGACCTCTGGAAGAACAGTCAGTGCCCTTAACCACTGAGCCATCTCTCTAGCCTTTGTTTTGTTTTGTTTTGTTTTTTGTTTTTGGAAACAGGGTTTCTCTGTAGCTTTGAAGCCTGTCCTGGAACTAGCTCTTGTAGACCAGGCTGGTCTTAAACTCACAGAGATCGGCCTGCCTCTGCCTCCCTAGGGCTCTACCACCGCCCAGCTTTATCCTGGCCTTCTAATACTGCTGTGTCTTAAAGGAAAAGACTCATTTAATCAAACATGTGACTCATTTGCTCCATCATTTTTTTTAATACAGGTTCTCACTATATAGCCTTGTTGCCTGCCTGGAATTTGCTATGTAGACCAGGCTAGCCTCCCATTGGGGGTGTGCTCCCTGCTCTTAACTGGTTTTTAAGGTTTCCTGTGACCCTGTTAGTTTGATGAATTAAGTTTAAGATGACACTCACCTAAACAAGTTTTGATGTTAAATTAATAGTCTCAAGTTTTTTTCACAATGCCTCAGAGACTTATTTACCTATATATTATAACTATGGTCCTGTTTTTCTGTTCTAGGAAAAAGTGAAAATTATTTTTTTTAAAAAAATTTGATAGAATCTCATGTCCCCAGTTGGCCTCAGACTCTCTATGTAGCTCTGAATGCCTTTGGTCTCCTGAGCCTCTTGCTTCCACTCTCAAGTGTTTTGATTACAGGCATGTATCACCATGCCTGGCTGTAAAATTCATCTTGAATGTATTTCAGAATTTGGTTCTCCATATTAATCTTACTGTCGCTATAATTTCACTAAAACACTTCCTTAAAATTTTCTGTATTTTATACTGAGAGTCTTTATTTCCATAAAAACTAATCTGCAATGTGAAGGAACTTTGGGTGCATTTGGGTTACCTTCAAGTTCCACCCTCACAGGAGACACTCCCTTGTCTGCCAATAGTTTTATTATGTTACCACTTAGCCTCACCTAATTTGTAATAAAGGCATGCATTTGTTGAAGATGCTTTTTTTCCATTGTATAATTTTAGCTTCTTGGTCAAAAGTGTTTGTAGGTGTGTGGGTTAATATCAGGGTCTTCAGTTTGAGTCCATTGGTCTACCTGTCTATTTTTGTGCCAATACCAAGCTGTTTTCAGAACTATGGCTCTATAGTAGAGCTTGAAGTCCGGGATGGTGATGCCTCCAGAAGTTCCTTCATTGTACAGGGTTGTTTTGGCTATCTTGGGTCTTTTGTTTTTCCATATAAAATTGAGAATTGTTTTTACAAGGTCTGTGAAGAATTGTGCAGGAATTTTGATGGGGGATTACATTGAATCTGTAGATTGTATCTTTAATTTCTTTCTTTAAAGACTCAAAATTCTTGCTATACAGGTTTTTTACTTGTTTGGTTAGCATTACCCCAAGATATTTTATGTTGTTTGTAGCTATTGTAAAGGGTGATGTTTCTCTGATTTCTTTCTCAGCCCATTTATCATCTGTATATAGTAGGGGTACTGATTTTTTTTTTAAGTTAATCTTGTGTCCTGCCACTTTGCTGAAGGTGTTTATCAGTTATAGGAGTTCCCTCGTAGAGTTTTTCTGATCGCTTATGTAAACTATTATATCATCTGCAAATAGTGAAAGTTTGACTTCCTCCTTTCCAATTTGTATGCCCTTGATCTCCTTTTCTTGTCTTATTGCTCTAGCTAGAACTTCAGGTACAATATTGAAGAGATATGGAGAGAATGGGCATCCTTGTCTTGTTCCTGAGTTTAGAGGAATCACATTTTCTCTCCCTTTAGTTTGATGTTGACTGTTGGTTCACTGTTTATTGCTTTTATTATGTTGAGGTATGTTCCTGTTATCTCTGATCTCTTCAAGACCTTTATCATGAAGGGGTGTTGGATTTTGTCAAAGGCTTTTTCAGCATCTAGTGAGATGATCATGTGGTTTTTCTTTTTCAGTTTGTTTATATGGTGGAGTACATTGACAGATTTTGGTATGTTAAACCATCCCTGCATCTCTGGGATGAAGCCTACTTGATCATAGTGCATGATTTCTCTGATGTGTTTTTGGATTTGATTTGCCAGTATTGAGTATTTTTGCATCAATGTTCATGAAGGATATTGATCTGTGGTTTTCTTTCTTAGTTGGGTCTTTGTTTGGCTAGGGTACCAAAGTAATTGTACCCTCCTAAAGAGTTTGGCTTCTGCTTCTATTGTGTGCAACACTTTGAGGAGTGTTGGTATTATCTGGTGTTTGAATTTCTGGTAGAATTCTGCACTGAAATCATCTGGCCCTAGGCTTTTTTTTGGTTGGGAGACTTTTGATGACTGCTTCTATTTCATTAGGGGTTATAGGCCTATTTAAAATGCTTATCTGTTTTGATTTAATTTTGGTAAGTGATATCTATCCAGAAAATTGTCCATTTCCTTTAAATTTTCAAATTTTTGGAGTACGGTTTTCAAAGTTATGACCTAAAGATTCTGTTTCATAATTTTAAAAATGTTTTCTTCTGTGGTCTTTCTTAAAATCTCTTCCATTTAAGAGTTTACTTTGCTGGGTGTGATGGCTCAACCTGCAGCCCCAACTACTCAGGACAGGTACTGAGACAGAAAGATTTCTTGAGCCTGCAGTTCAAGGTTACTCTGGCAACATAGAAAAAAAAAGAACTTGTCTCATGAAAAAAAAAATGTACTATTGTTAGTCACTTTGAAAAAAAGCATATGTAATCAAAACGACCATCATTTACAAGTTACAACTATTGTATTTGGATTCTCAAGCATGGTGATGCATATAACATGGAAAGCATCACAGTAATACGACATTAGAAATGGGGATTTTTTTTATTCAGTATTTATAGACATCAGTGTAACAAATTTCATCCTACATGGGCTTCTAAATTAAATCTTAGTAGTTACCCTTTCCCTCTCTTTAGAATTAGTGAGCAACTATTTATCAAAAGAACACCTAAAAGATGCAGCCTATGTAGTGTTCCTTCTCAATTTGAATTTAGAATCCTGGTTTACTCCTATTATTAAAAAAAAAAAAAAAAGTTTATGACTGAGGAAATGTAGGACCATGGAAAGAAAAGGCTTTTTTTTTTAAAGGTACATATATGGAAGAGGTTGCCCTCCCAATCAAAGTATCAGACATCTCAGACCTGCTTAAGAATGTCCTCCTCTAAGTTTATGTTTTACTTAAAGTTTTCATTACTAGGTATTAAATCCAATACGCATTAAGAAAGGATATTACCATTGAACTGTGTCCCTAGACTAGATTTTCAAACATGAAAATATTAGCTTCAGGGTTCTGGAGTTTTCAAATAAATAATTTATTTTTGTGTGTGTGTGTGTGTGTGTGTGTGTGTGTGTGTGTGTGTGTGTGTGTGTGTGTACATCCATCTGTCTTTCTGTCTATCTGGGTTTTGTTTTCAAGATAGCACCTCTTTGTAGCCCAGGCACTGGCCTCAAACAACCAACCTGCTCTCCCAGATTCCCCAGGACTGGGATTACAGACATATGCCAGTATACTTAATTCATTTCTTTCTTAAATCATTTGAAAAATAGTAGCATGATAATCATTATGTTTTTATTTTTTTACCCTTAATTATTTGCTGTAATAAAACATAACTGTATCCAGGGTTCCAGCCTCTGTTAGACACCTAGTTGGCGAGTAGAGGGACACATGCTCTCTGCATGTCATCTGGCCTATTCATTTTTTTTAGCAGTTATAAAAATGAGTATTTCATGGTGTTTAGGGTAGGAATAAAGACCGAAGTCATTATATTTTATGATGTATTTATAAAATTCATCTATTGCCTCTGACTAAAATATTAAATATGGCTTCTGTAAATTAGTGCATGTATGCATACATGTCATGGTGCTTGTGGAGGTCAGAGGACACTTTTCAGGAGTCAGTTCTCTCCTGCCACGTGGCTGGCTCCCAGTGATAGAACTCAGGCCATCAGGCGTGACAGCCAGTGCCTTCACCCCGCTGGCCACCTTGCCTACCCTCTAGATAATATCTTATAAAACTAAGAAAAATATAAACCAGTTAAATATTGATGGAACAAAACAACACATCAGCAATATTACTTTAATCAATTGTTGTCTTTTCAGGCTCATGAGAGACTTGAAGATTCAAAATTAGAAGCTGTCAGTGACAATAACTTGGAATTAGTAAATGAAATTCTTGAAGATATCAGTCCTCTAATAAGTGTGGATGAAAATGTGGCAGAACTGGTTGGAATACTCAAGGAACCTCACTTCCAGGTAATCTGTCTCTGTCTTCCTCCCATAGCTTTCACCTTCAACACTAAAGAAATTCAGTGTTGTATAGGGCCTGCTTTAGAAGTTCATAAGTCCTAGACTAGGTATTCTAATATCCCAATATTAAAGACACATAAACACACATATATGACTGTATATATCACAGAAATGTACAGTGTCTATCACAGAAAAGCCCTGGCTTTTTCTTTGCACCATCAATAACCTTGACCATCAGACCACATCCTAGGAATAATTCTCCTCACTTTGACAGTGTTGCTGCCACCGTCTTTTGTTTGTTTGTTTGTTTAACATTTTTCTTTATGTATTATTGGGTGAGGGGCATGTGCCATGGCAGATGTACAGAGGTCATAGGACACCCTGTGGGAGTCTGTACTCTGGTTTTACCATGTGGATCCCTGAGATTAACTCAGGTGATCAGAGTTGGTGCAGGAGCGTCTACCCTCTAAACCATCTTGATGCCCCCCCCTTTTTTTTTTCTTTATTAATGCCAATGTTTTTCTCATTCCTCCTTTGGCCTAGTTTGGACCATTTTTAGTATTGCTACAGTATCATGATGAATTCAATGATACCCATGATGAAAAGGTGACAGGAAGTTTGTTTAAGTATAGAAACTGTTATGTAGCATAATTTTTTCTATAGATTAAAAAAAAGAAAAAGGTCTGCACATAAGGTAAACAGTTTCACAAAGAAAAATTTCACTTCAGAACAGAAATGATGGGAAATTTTTATATTAAACATATAATAGTTAAGAGTTTATGGTAGCGGAGAATATTGGGAAAGTAAGAAGTGGATAGGAACCTCAGAAATATATCCAGCCATATATGGCCACTCATTCTGTGACAGAGACATTGCATTTTAATAGGGGGATAAAATGCTATGATAAAAGAAGAAAATGTCACTGTTTTCCCTGCAAACTTTGCCCTCAAAATTAGATGACACTCCTTTGCTTTTTTAAGACATGGTTTATGTGGGCCTATGTGATTTGAGTTTATGTAAGGCAGTATAAAGTATTTGAATTTCATCTTGAGGGCAATGGAGAATCTTGGGTCCAGGGTATTAGATATATGAATTTACAACCCATATCTATGGGATTCCCATTTCCCTTTTTACTGTTGTGTTTGGTAGAAAAGACCTACCTATTGTCTTCAGTGCCCCACTTCCTGAGTTTATCTGGTTGAATTTCTGATGTGTTATTTACTTATTGAAGTTCTAATTAAAGGGTTGATAATTTACTTCTCAAGGTGCACTACTTTAAGTTCGAATACATCTTAAATGATGATGCAAAATGAGTTAACTGTATCAGAAGATGTAGAATACCTGGTTCCCTTCCAGTGTTGGTACTGAAATTGGTTCCTTGTTTAAGAGCTATGACAGTATAATCCTTTCTTTGAAATCATCTCCATGGGGAGGTAAACAAGTATGCTGTTACTTTTACATTATACAGATACCTTCTTATTTGGGGTGTGTTAATTGTTTCTTTTGGGGGGATAGGGTCTGGTTACATAGCACAAGCTGGCCTCTAATTCACCAGTCTTCTCTTCTACCTTGGCCTCCAGAATGCAAGCATTATAAGAATGTGTCACCACACCAAGCTAAGATTATACAGGTATTATTCCATAACAGCCACTTAACCTATAGATAAACACAAATTAATAATCCTTGCCTAAATCAATATTTTCATTAGGGATTGGAAAATAGCATTTTCCAAATTGTCTCATTCTGTGTATGTGAGGTGGCATTGTTGTATGAGCCCAGAGTTTATCTTCAGCTGCCCTATTGCCCTGTAACATATCCTCCTGGAAAGGTAACAAAATGATGAGTCCTATTCCTTACCAATTTTCAAAGTAAAAGTTGTTGAAAACATCAGCTTCAGATCAGATGATAACAAATGATGCTTTTTAGCTATTTTATTTGCTAAATAGCTTTGTGTGCCTGAAAATTTTCTCCCTAAATGTGGAACTTCAATTCTCTATAATAGTTATTACTTTTGGCACTCAAATTATCCTGACTTTAACCAGGGGTGAGCACCCTTTTAGTACATGAATCTGGAGCACGTGAGAATTCTTGACCTGAGAGATAAATTGTATTAATAGTGTTTCGTGTAATCACAGGAGTAGAAAGCCCTGCCTCAAAATAGAAGCCCGGGTTAGAGCTTTGAATAACTTCCAACGTTATTAGGAACACCTCTCACATAGAGATTTCTAGTTCTCTCCCTTTTAGAAATTTCTATGTGTGAATGTGTATTTGCATGTGTGTTTCTTGTGTGTGCAGGTATGCAAAGTCTAGTGGTCAAAGTCTGATGTTTTCTCCACCTTTTTCTCCCTTCCTTTCTTTCCTTTTTGAGATACTTTATCACTGAACTTGGAGTTTACTCTTGTGTCTTCGTCACAGAGCTGGGGTTGCAGATACTCACCACTGTTCCCAGCTGTTTATATGAGCACTAGAAATCTCTACATAGTTCTTAGGTTTGTGGGGCAAGCACCTTATTGACTGAGCCGTCTTCCTGACCTTGTTTTTAAATGTTTTTCCAATATCTTGCAAATGATTTTATAGTATTATCGGGAATTACCAATTAAGCCAATACCCAGCTTGTCTCTGTCTTGAATGTGTTGATACTTGTTCACCTCTTCTATTTTGATTAGTGATGTTTGAACTTGTATTCTGCATACTCAGACATTTTTTTAGTTTAATGTTGTGTCCAGTATTGAATTAAAACTTAACTTCTCTAGGGTAAGGAATTTTTAAAAATTTTAGTGTACAAAAAAGATATTCCTAGCTATCTACAGAATCATCCATAATAGCATACACCATAATAAACATAGAAAGCAAAATGAACATTATATCTAGAACCATTTTTGATTCTTTTATAGACTAAAACCTTAATTGGTAATATATAATTTCCTATTAATGATAGGAGGTGCTGATAATTATTTTCTCTTAGACATCTTTTTAGCATAACTTTTGTACATGTACAAAGTATATCAACATAATGAAATTTAGAGTCTTTGTCACTTGACCTGTTTTTTGTGCATTAGGAATAGTTGGATAGAGAGATTAGTGGTAAAGACTGAAGAGGATGCTGACACTGTTGATAGGAAATTTGTCACCTCCCTCTACCAGGTTTAAAAACTGAGGTTTGGTTTCTAGTGAACATGATACTTTAAAAATGAGACTAAGTTTTACCAGTCTCTTCAAACCTGTAAACCTGAATATGATACTGTTTGATGATAGTAAAATGATCTAGTTTTACTTTTCTTAAAAAGAGTATATATGTATGATTTGACATAATTCATACTGGGAATTTAATAATGTGTCCTTAGAAACTTTTAGTACTCCACAGTGATAATGAACTAATAAATTATTTTTAGCAACTTGTTCCATCAGTAGCTAATAACCACAGGCTGTTTTGACTCCTTACAGTCGCTCCTAGAGGCCCATGATATTGTGGCATCAAAGTGTTACGATTCGCCTCCCTCAAGCCCAGAAATGAATAATTCTTCTCTCAATAATCAGTTATTGCCAGTAGATGCCATCCGTATTCTTGGTATTCACAAAAGAGCTGGAGAGCCATTGGTGAGTAGATGAGTCACTGCTTTCTTAGATAGGAAATGTAGTGCGGCCCTGTCTCTGCTGTTGACTTACTGTTGAAACTGTGCTCATGCTTATTTTATCAGTCTTTTGGCCTTTGTGTGAATACACAGCAGATGATCTGTCAATCATGTAGCCTATGAAACGTAGTCAAAATGAAAGCTTAAGCTGACTTGGAAGCTATAAATATGCCAGTGGGAACAGGAAAGCTGTTTCATTTCTTCCCAGCCTTTCAGAAATTAATGTCTGTTTGCTTACTAACGATAACACCAAGACAAGGAAGAAAATTGCTATTAAAATTTGAAGTATCATGGGGCTCTAGAAGTAGTGAAGTTAACTACTTCCTCTTATGTTTTTTATTTGTGGTTCCCAAAAACAGTGGTGTGGCAAACAGGCAAGTGGGGATCTTTGTTGCTTCTTCGAGTTTTCTTTGCCAATGGAATACAGCTAGATTTCAAGGGGTAACCCAGTTGCATTGGTGTTCCTCTGATGTCAAAGTTGCACTTAGTTTATTGAGACTTGACATGAAATAAGATGGGAAAAGAATTCACCTATCTGGTTTCAGAATTATTTTACTTGTATTCATAATGTTTACATATTTATTCTTACTGAGATAAAATCATTCCTTTTTTTATAATTTCCTACAGGGTGTAACATTTAGGGTTGAAAATAATGATCTGGTAATCGCCCGAATCCTTCATGGAGGAATGATAGATCGACAAGGTCTGCTTCATGTGGGAGATATCATCAAGGAAGTCAATGGCCATGAGGTTGGAAACAATCCAAAGGAATTACAAGAGTTACTGAAAAATATTAGTGGAAGTGTCACCCTAAAAATATTACCAAGCTATAGAGATACTGTTACTCCTCAACAGGTTAGTGTAATTTCCTGAGGGACATTAAGAACACTTCATTTTTTTTTTCATCATTCTGTTAGGCAGATGCTAAAGAAAGTTTGTCTCAGTAAAGTTTTTAATTTTTATATAATACTATCTTAGTATTATAAAGGAAATAATAAAGACATTTATTTGTGAACATTATGAACCCTATTGTTTGGGTAGTCTACAGGTAGGTGTCAGAAGTCATAAAGCCTTTTAATTACTATAGTTGAAAGCATTCTTGATATCTCTTATTTTTCAAACATTGCATTGGGGCCTTTGAGACAATGTTGTCTAGATTACCTCCAGGTTAGTGTTCTTGTGATATATGATATGACAGACAGTGTCAAATAGATTGGATTAAAGATGACATTGGACAATTGGTTTTTCCCAAATTTCATGTCTATTTAAGGTGAAATGAGAAAATGAACAGGAGAGCATGCTAATGTGCTAATGATAGAGATTATTTCCATCTCTTGTAATGGCTGCTCTTGTATTGGGCATGACATAATCCTAGTACTTGAGAGGTTGACAACAGAAGGACCTCAAGTTTGGAGCTTAACCTAGGATACATAGTGAGAACCCCTCAAAAAAGAAAAGATAGAGTTACATAGCTAGCGTTCTGTTTTTGAACTGTTCTTTAGGAGATAAGATATACTACTTAATCATGACTTTCACATGTAAATGAGACCTCTGAAAATAGTGAACTGTGTATTAGTTTCATTTCTGTTGCTGTGATCAAATACCCAACAAAAAAGCAAGTTTTGAAAAGAGGTTGTTTCAACTTATAATTCCATCATGGTAGGGAAAGTGAAACAAGAACTTTCAAATAGCTAGTCCTATTATATCCACAGTCAAGAGCAGAGATAAATTAATACATACATGCTGACCTGCATCTTTATGCTCAACTCTATTTCTCCATTATTACACAGCCCAAGACTTCCTGCCTAGGGAATGTTACCACCCACAATAGCCTGGGTCTTTTCAAATCAATTGACTTAAAGACAGTCCCCCACAAGCCAATTCAGTATAGATAGTTTCTCACTGAGATGCTTTTCTCCAGTTGATTGTAGACGTGTCAAGTTGTCAGTTAAAACTAACCATATTGTCTTACTTTACAAAGCAAACAATTATGAAAAAAAGACAAGAGAACTTAGACTATCCCTGTTGTTCTCAGGCTGTTTTCCTACATTTGCATATTTCTATTTGTGACAAAATGAGACCTATTTGAACTTGAATGTGTTAGAAGAATAATAAGTAACAAATAATAATAACACAATAATAATGATAAATTTCATGACAATAAAATAATTTATGATTTAATAAAATATTAAATAAATGATAATTTATTATTTTATATATTAATTATAATGGGAAGATAATATTTTCCTCTGTGGTCCCAACCAGAAGTCTTATAATTAAGTCACCAACGTGCTTTAGTTTCTTTCTCATTCTGTAACAAAATACCTGACAGAAGCAACTGAAAGGGAACGGGTTTAGAAGCATCTTCACAGATACTCCCAGAGGTGTCTTTCATGGTGTTTCTCAATCCTTTCTAGTTGTTGATGATCATCTATGTGTATAATCTATTCTTACAGGCAAAACAGCTCATTGTTTCCTGTGTAAATTTTGTATTTGGTGAACTGAATAGCTGGTTTCAGTGTATGGATATTTAGCTTTGGTTTAAGCATAAATTTTCCCCCTCTCTATAATTTTTTAGTTTTATCTGGTCTTTAGAACTAGGGAAGAGGGTTCAAGTGTGAAGTGGGGAGAGTTGGTCACATGAGCCCATTTAACAGCCTCTGGCATATTCTACCATGAAAAAGAGCCTCAACTACACTCAAATTGGCTTCCTTCCTTGCTTGCTTCTCTGCTTCCTTCCCTCCTAATGAACAGAAAGTCATTATGTTGAATCAGTAAGCATAGACCAAGACTGTCCTGGACAAACCTTGGATATCTTAGAGATGCAGTGTGTAAGGAAGGGCACTCACCCTCAGCTGACTTTCTCACTGGTGCACTAGCTCCCTCCCCCAGCTACTGTGTTCCTTTCTGCAGTCTCAGTAACCCAGGGTCAACCACAGTCTAAAAATACTAAGTGGAAAATTCCTGAAATGAGTCAAACTTTAAAATGTGCATCATTCTAAGCACTGTGAGGAACTTGCTCCACGTGCATAGTTCTACCCAGAGCCTGGATCATCCCTTTGTTCGGAGTACTGTATATAGTACCCCACCACCACCACTAGTAGCTTTCTGAGCAGAAAACATATGCATGCTGATGTATCAGTGTTTGTGTTCAAGTGACTCCTGCCACAGCCTTAAAGCATAAGGGCTGGCAATTGAGATATGCCAACTCAAAAACCTTGGAGTAGCTCCTAGAAGTGTAAGTGGTAACTAAAAATTAACAACTTTTAATCTAGCAAGAAAACAAAAAGATACCTTTGCTGAAGTTTCTAAGATCTATGGTATGGTAACAACAGATCTTCTGTCCATGAAATGTGAAGAAAAAGAAATAATGCTCGTTAACTGTCTCACCTAACGCAGTAAGTTATGGCCACAGTGCTTGTTCAAGTGCACTGTAAACAGTAAGTTGTAAAGTTTGGTACTCCCTTAGGGTTAGGCATCCGTTGCACATGTTGGAATGTGTCTTCCATGGAGAAGTGGGGAATCCTGTGCTTTGGAGCCTATTGCAATTCTTCTGTAGATTGTTGCTATAGCAGAGGGAAAACAGAAGCCCTCCATCCTGGGTAGTATTTTTCTCTAATTATGACAGTAGATCCTCTTTGTCTGAAACACTTGAGGTGCTGCTGGCTTGCAGTCTATGAGACATGTGATATATATTTTACAATGTAAGAATCAGGGTAAGCTAAAGATGTAGCTAGTTTGGAAGTTCTTCAACTTATGTATCACTTGGGTTTCTGGAAGGTATAAACAATTCCTCTTATAAAGCCTTATTAACTTTTGCTCTATATGATAAATGGTTTGGGGAGCTATATATTTTGGCTCATGATTTTAGAAATTTCAGTCCAGGGATACTTAGCTACATTTCTAGGGTGTTGAGGCAGAGCATGATTGTAGAAAGGCATGGTGAAGCAATGTGGTATGGTAGGGCTAAAAACAGAAACAGGAAGGAAGGGGCAAGGGCAGAGGAAGTCCTTCAGAGTCATGCTTCCCATTGACCTGCTTCCTCCACACACAGAGACCTCCCTTCCTAACTGCCGTTCAGTGTGAATTGATGACAGAGGCACCTCATGGTCCACCCACGTCTCAGTGACTGGATCCACCACCAGGGAATCCAAGGATGCAACACGTGAGACTTTTAGGAGATAAAGAAATCATAACAAGGACAAATTGATCACAATCCTCTTTTACTCATCTTTATGACCAGCATGACCTGGATACCAAGAGTATTATAGGAAAATAAATTACATCTTTATTTCATTCAACAAAATAATAGCAAATCAAAGTTAATTTTCTGTAAAAAAGAGTTTGTCCAAGTTGAATTTTTTGAAAGTATGGTAGTATAGAGATCTTATAAGAAAATCCACATATTAACAAATGAAGAATAACCTCAATAGACCTGTGATTAAATTTAACTCAGATTCATGTTTCTTTTGTAAGTACTAATAAAGTAGGAAGAGGAAGGTCCTAACAGTTGGAAGTTTGACTTCTGTATAAAGTGAGGACATGGGGGCTGGAGAGATGGCTCGGGTTAAGAGCACTGACTGCTGCTCTTCCAGAGGTTCTGAGTTCAATTCCCAGTAACCACATGGTGGCTCACAACCATCTGTAATGTGATCTGGTGCCCTCTTCTGGCAGGCACTGTATACATGATAAATAAATAAATAAATAAATAAATAAATAAATAAATAAATACATATTTTAAAGAGAAAAAAAATAAAGTGAGGGCATGACCGCTCCAAGTATTGTTGAGAGGAAGGTTTTTATTGTAGATATGAGGGAGAGTACAGCCAGAGGCAGCTAGAAAAGTCAGAGCAGGAAGAGAAAGTAGTACACAGAACATGGCCAGCAGACTAGACTGGACCATGAGAGAAGAAGGGGGGTGGGGATGAGAGAGGGAGAGAAGAGAGAAAAACAAGAGAGAGGACCAAGAGGGTGCATGGCTGAAATGGGAGGCTTATATAAGAATGAGAAGCTGGGGGATGGGAGACAAAGAGCTGGAGAAGTGTAAGATGAGTGGCAAGGTGAGAAGAGCTGAGAGGAGCCACAGGTACTGAGTAAGCCTGGAGGTCAGCATGGCCTCGATATGGTAAAAGGCACCAGTGATAGCCACCATTTGTCCTAAATTTCTTTTGGACCTCACAGTTTCAACATCAGAAGCAGGACTCAGTTAGTCTGCCTGACGCCTCAAATTAACTAATTTTATTTCCACCAAAATAAAAGAGCCCATCATCAACCAAAGGAACTCACCATATTATACACAAGTATGCACTGTAAAAGAAATGATTTCGGTATAACAAATATTAAAGCTCTAGTGTTCCTTATAGATGTTAGGAATAAGCAGATTCTGATGCTAACATTTAATACGTTTTCAAACCAAGGGATAGCAATCCAATAACATTCAGACATCAACTCAGCCATCCTGGGACAAAGCAGCTGACAGAAATGCCACCCAGGATCTTAACCCAGCTTGGCACTCATAAACCAAGGACCCTGGCAGATGATGATGGAAAAGCACAGCTTGCTGCTGGAGGAGAGTGATCTTGTTCAGAATTTTGATGAGCCTTCAAACAATGAAGCAAACTGAACTGACTCAACTTCAAGAATAAAATAGCAATGATTTGACTGCTTAAAAAAACAGCTTTGATTTGGGATAGAATGAAACATAAATCCTTAATATCTTTAAGTCTCAAGATTCTTGAACACTGAAACTTTCAGTTAATTGTTGCTTAAATTCAATTAGTTGTTTGCTATTGATTAATCCAGGGAAGCCAGAAAGTAAAGTCTAAAATAAAGATAAATAAAACTTTTACCTCAGTTAACTCAGAGAAGTTTTAAGAAAATGGGGTGGGGGAAGAGAAGAGTGTCACTAGCATTACTTGTTGTCACTGTTGTCTTCAGGGTTTGGTAAGCATGGTGACAAAAATACAGAGACAGAAGGCCTCCAAAGGAAGTAATGAAACCATAAATTTACAATCAATATAACTTTCATACTTAGAGCCCATTCCCCGAAAAACTAGAAATAATAGTTTAGCAAAGTATTTAAAAATCAGATTAGTATACATTAGGGCTTTTTATTTGTTTTGTCATATCAAGCAACTAAAATCATAACTAAGACATGATTTATAGTAGAGTCACCTTAATGCTTGGGAATGAACCTAACAAAATAGTTCAAGTCCTCTACACAAAACAATTATGAAGATGTTCTAAATAAATAGAATATTATAGAAATGTCCACTTTTTTCACATTTACAGGTTCAGAGGTCTGTGAATCAAAAGTCTTGATGAGATTAATAGCCGGAACACTCTTGAGGCAGAAAAGCAGGAATAGGAGCATTTTAGTTTTTTCTCTATTGGCTGTGATAAAATGCCCTGACAAAGCGTCTTTAAGGTAGAAAGGGTTTATTCTGGCTCCCAGTTCAAGGGTTCAGTCCACTGTAGTGTGGAGGTAAAAAGGAAAAGCTTGGAGCAGCTGGTCACCCTGAATCCACAGTCAGTAATAACTTACTCCCAGCTCCCTTCTATTTATACAATCCAAGATTCCAGTCCAGAAAATGGTGCCACCACAGTAGATAAACTAATCAAGCTAATCTCCCACTGTCATGACCAGGGTCCTGTTTCCTAAGTAATTCTAGATTTCATTGACGGGAAGATTGGAATTAACCATCACAATTATTAATGTGCAGGGTTTACATAATATGGTGTTGGCATAGGAATGGGTAACATGGTCAGAGAGGGCTCAGAAAGAGGCCTGAGTATGTACATTACACTGGTATATAACAGAATAGATGAAAATTGATTATTCATAAAGATAATATCTAAAATTGTATCACTGTTTCCAATCACATGAAAAAAATCAAAACAGATCATTGGTCAGGAAACATCTGAAGACACTAAAAATCATAGTGTGAGATGCTGTTTTACACAATTCAGTTAGAAAAATTTGTACATGAATCTACAATATGTTGACTTCAGTACTGGTAGAGTACATTTGGCATAGCACATTGGTGGGAAGGAAGTTTAGTAATGTCTCCTAAAATTGAATGTTCCTGTGTTCCAAAACTTGGGCACTTCCTAGAATAGCTCTTACATATATATAGTCAGAAATTCATTAATGAGTATACAATAAATCCTAAAACATTATGTGCATATATTATGGTACTATTTTATTTTAAGGTGACTATATCTCTCTTTAATTTACATAGATGGAATTAAAGCTATGTCCATGAGGAAAACAGGGAGTTGAATACAAGATCTAAAGTAAAGGTTGTCTTGGTTGGGAAAGCCAGGATAATGGGTTGAAATGAAATGAGAGCAGGAGGACCAGGTTTCTAGCTTATGTTTTGGGTGGCAAGCCCTTGTTTCTTTATTATGTAATCTACTAAATAAATAGATGCAGTTTATGTAACTCATAAACTGATTTTAGAAGTACACAGTTTTATAAACGTGACTGTTTATATGCATCTGTGACACCATTAGCATAACTGAGATAATAAACTTACTGCCACCCCTGAGTTCCCTGAAATGCTTTGTATCCGTCCCTCCTGCTTCCTACCTTGCTTCAAGCAACTGCTGTTCTGCATTCTGTCATTGTAACTTAGTTTGCATTCCCATATTTTCATATAAGCGAATCATCTCATACTTTTTTGGATTTTAACTTTGTAATGCATTTTTTTATTCATTGAGGATTTCATGTGTGCATACAATGTATTTTGACTATATTCACTCTCCAGTACTACTCCCCCTAACTCCTCCTAGAGCCACCTCTCACTCTTTCCTGACTTTGTGCCCTCCATTTATTCATAGTGTGGGGCCTGGACTCTGCCTCCCTCAGAACCTTTCAGCTGTCAAAGGCTTCTCAGCTACAGAGAGAGGTTTATGGGGTCCCGTCCTCCATGCTGGAATGTTGACTCTCTTGATCCTGTACAGGTCTTGTACAGGCAGCCACAGCTGCTTTGAGTTCATGAGTGCAGCAGTCCTGTCATGTCCAGAAGAGCTGCTTCATTCTGGTCCTCCCTGACCTCTGGCTCTTAAAGTCTTTTCACCTCCTTCATCCTTGGTCCCTGAGCCTTGCAGGGAAGAGATATAATAAAGATGTCCCATTTATTGTTGAGTACTCCATAGACACTTAATCTTTGCTCTTTGACCAGTTGTGAATTTCTTCTTTCACCATGGTGCACTGCACAAGAAACTTCTGACTCAGTCTGAGAACTGCAGTAATCTGTGGTGATAGGGATTTGACTTTATTAGGCAATTTGACACTATATGAGCTCCCCAACCATATACTGAATGAGTTAACTCAGACCCAGAACAACAGAAGTTTCATGTTCTCTCATGTATGAATCCTAGAGTCAGATTTTTTATTTATGTTTCTTAACTTGAAGGTCCTATGGAATCTAGGAAACTTCAGTATTTACCTGGGTTCTTTCAGCATAAATTTGTATGATTTATCCATTTTGCTTACTTGTATTGATTGTTCATATGTTTTTATTGATCTAGTATTTAGTTGCATAGACATACTAATTTGTTTATGTATAAGTTGTCTGGTGAACATTTTTGTTATTACCAGTTTGGGGCTATTACAAAACAGCTAGGGTTTATAAAGAGCTAAGGTTGAAAGAGTTGGTCATGTGGTAGGCATATGTTGAAATTTTAGAGAAAAAAAACTTCAGGAGTGATTGTAACAGTTTACAGTCCCACCAGCATTACATGAGTTTCTTTTATTTAGTGTCTTTGCTGTGTTTGGTGTGACTATTCTTTAATGTTAATCAGTATAATAGGCCTACAGTAGTAGCTAACTATAATTTTAATTTGCATATCACTACTGATGAATAAGATTGAAAAATTTTCATGTGCATATTTTCCATGCTTTTATCCACTCCATTAAAGTCTTTATGTCTTTGTCTATTTTATGTTGTTCTCTTGTTTGGCTTTGACATTCTTTTGTATTAATGGTGTGCTGGCTAGTTTTATGTCAGCTTGACACAGCTAAAGTCATCTAAGACAAAGGAACCCCAATTGAGAAAAATGCCTCCAAAGATCATGCTGTAGGCAGGCAAGCCTGTAGGGCATTTTCTTAATTAATGATTCATTGGAGGTAGGAGGCAGCCCATTCATTGTAAGTGGGGTTACCTCTGAGCTGGTTGTCCTGGGTTCTATAAGAAAGCAGGTGGAGCAGTAAGCAGCCAGTAAGGGAGCCAGTAAGCAGCACCCCTCTGTGGCTTCTGCATCAGCCTAGTTTGAGTTTCTGCCTTGACTTACCTCAGTGGACTATGATTCAGGATATGTAAGTCATTTAATAAACCCTTCCCTCCCCCAATTTGCTAGGTTATAATATTTCATCACAGCAATATTAACCCTAAAATGCCTGCATACATATCTTTCATCAAAATTGTAATTTGCAGAGATTTTCACCTAGTCTTCAAACTTGGGGTTATCCTTTCTTAGCCTCATGAGTGATCAAGTCCTGTTTATATGCACTGTGTTCTACTGAACAATTTGAATTCCTCCTCTAGTTCTTTGAAAATAAGACTATATAATGTAAAATTTAAGTGTTTATTTTATTGATCTTGTTGAGAAGGGTTCTCACTATGTAGCTCAGTCTGGCCTTGAAGTCATGGGTAATCCTCCTACCTTAACCTTCCAAGTGTTAGGATTATAGGCACAAATTACCACAATTGGTTGTACTGAGTATTGTTTACTAATTGTTTCATATTTGCTGTTTCTGGTTTTGGGGGGGGTTTGCTTTGTTTTTGTTTTGCTTTGGGTTTTTGTTTGTTTATTTGTTTTTCTTTTGGGGGTTTGACTTGGTTGGTTGGTTGGTTTCATTTTTGAGACACATGTAGTCCAAGCTGGCCTCCCTTTCACTGTGCAGTTAGAGATAACTTTGAACTGATCCTTTTGCTACTTCCCAAGTGCTGGGATTATAGTGCACACCACTACATCCGGGTGTTCCAGACTATTCTTAATTGGCTTTTCTCCCTGTTCCAGGTTATCTGTTCCTGCTTTGTATTCCTGCTCATATTTGCTTTGTGTTACTGTTGCTAAATTTAAACTTTTGGAGTGTTTTTGAGAATTTAATATGAAAACTGTATTTTACATTATGTTTACCCTTCTTTGTTCCATAACCTCCTGTGTCCTTCTCAATACATGGTGAGCCTATTTGGTGTAGCTTTTATGTACATGTGTTTAGAGCTGACCATTTGGGATTCCATAACACATCAGGAGGCTCTTGTCTTTAGAGATGACTGGATGTCTCCCTCTCAGCAGCCATTGATTGCCTGTAGCTTTTTGTATAGAGGTGGAACCTTGAAATTTTCCCTTGTCGTTGGCATGTGGACTGGTATATTATAATTCTGTAAGTCTTTTTTTAGGCAACTCATTATTGCCACAGAGTGCTCCTAATCTTTTGCTATAATGAATAGTTCAATAATTACTAGTATTATATCTAAGTCATTTCAAATGTGTCTGAGAAATATAACTGTTGAATCCATTCCCAGAAGTGGATTACTAGGTCAGAGGGTTTATGTGTTTGTAATCTTGGTAATTATTGCCAAATTGTCCTTCCAAGAAGTTGGAGCATTCTTCCACAAGCCTGTTAGGAAAATCCCTATTAGCCCATAGTCTTATCTGCAGATATCTGTCAAATATTTTAATTTTTGCTAGTTAATAGGAAGAAGGTGTTATTCATTTCTACTCCACATAGTTTGAGCATCTATGCTTCAAAGCTATTTGTACTTCACTTTAGCTACAGTCTTATTTTAAATTGTTGGTCATTGAGTTTTTCCTTTGATGGTAAGAGTACAGAACTAAAATATTTTGTTAAGTGTTTAGTAACTTAATGATCAGTTGGCATTCATAAACTGTTAGTGCAGTTAATAGAATACAATAAGTCAATTCTTTAATAATTTTAAAGATTTTATAAAACTACTAGATCAAAGGCTAGGATAATTGATTTTTCAGACAAATTTTTCCAAAGTAAAACTGGATAAATCTGAGTTTTGGAGCTTAAGGGTAATGTTCTAAAAGCAGTTTAATAAGCCTTTTACATCTGAGTTGGATGTTGGCATCTCTGAACAGGGGAAATAAATGTTTGAAATTTGGAAAACACTTGTAACTTTCCTAAGTATTATCCCACCACCAAGTATGATAAACACCCTCATTTAGGTGACATGAGGTTCTTCATTCAGTGGGCATCTCTCCAGAAGTAAGAAATACATTGCTGCTTTTATGAGGTCTCATACAATCCCTTCTTTCCCTTCAGTCAAATGCCTGTGACTTCTTGCTTGGTCATTTTACTTTTTTATAGGTATTAGAACCTGTGGATAATTAATTAGGGAGGAAGTGGCTTTACCAAGTGAGTGAAGTATAAAATGAGCCAATAGCTTACTTATATTTTGTTGTTATAAGTTAAGAGCCTGGCTTTATTTATGCGATTGAAAAATATATTTTTAGAGTTACACCAATATGGAGAGGCATCCAGCCCACATCCGTCAGGTATGATACCATGTGAGAACATTTTCTGGTATTCCTGTTGTTCTGTCTTAGCAGTCAACTAAATTTACCTTGATTAAACTTTATCATCTTGAGTTGTTCGTTGCCTGTGCCTTGAGCTGCATGCCAAACTCATTAGCCACCTGTCACAATTTAGCAGTCTTAATATTATTTGCATGCTTGCTTCTTAGATACTTCTAAAATTATATGTCAGGAAAAAGTGGCTTCCCAGTTTGTTTAAGCATTGATTTTCAGGCCTTGCAAAGTTGTTGCAGATGGTCTAGAGCTTTCTATCAAGATCACATGTACCCAAAAGTTTAAAAATACCTTCCTATGCATCTTTCACACTGTGTGTTTTTTTAGGCATACTAATAATGCAATGTATGTACTCATACTATTTGAATATTTTATTTGTTTCTAGTTGTAGAAGTATGATACACATAGAAAAATAACATTGTTAGTTTGACTAACTATGCATTTCTGCTTATTAGAGTTATTCTGCTGATTAATGTTAAGGCTTTTCTCTAGAAGACACAATTTGGATTTCTATAAATATGTATGAAGCATGTCTATTTTAAGAAAACAGTTGATCTAAACTTTCCATCAAATGTTTAAAATGATTAATAGAATTCAAATTAAATAAGCAGTATGTTGCAAGCACTGGAGATCTTAACAGTGTAACTGGCATACTTTTATTAATAAAATGAATCTAAGAGAAATGTGTATGTTTGAATTTAAATTGGAAAATAGTTAAGACCTTTCTAGTATTTTGTCTCTTAAGTTACTTAATACTAATTTAAATTTAAACATATAAGTCATGGTAAGTTGATTTCAAAATATTTGCCTCCTTAGTTTTGGCCAGTGTAACCGATTAAAAATAGACTGCTAGAAGTAATGTTGAATTAATTTTTTTAAGGCTACCAAATATATTTCAGGTCTCACTTAAGATGACCTTTGTTGTTTAATTTTAAAGATTTAAACAATCATTATTGTTTAAAGATTTGTTTAATTTAGACTTCAAGGTGTCTGTGCATTCTCAGTCCTGATAGGTTGGAAATACATGCCTTAAACTAACTGCACCCATTATTCCAGCATTTTAACTGCAAAATGATATTTACTTAAATAAAAAATTATGTAGTGTTTATTTAAATTAAAAATTATGTAGTGTTTGTTGGGAAACCAAGTGAAAAGATTGGAGAGGGTGGAATGGAATGGAGAGGGTTTAACACTTGTTGATACAGGAGTAGGTTTTAAAAATGGTAGAACACTCACCTACTCACATGCAAAGCCCTGAGTTTAAATCCCGACATGACAAAAAAGAAGCAGGAGTTTTTTAAATGCACAAAATTAAGCTGGGCATTGGTGGCGCACACCTTTAATCCCAGCACTCAGGAGGTAGAGGCAGGCAGATCTCTTGTGAGTTCCAGGTCAGCCTAGTCTAAATAATGAGTTCCAGGACAGCCTCCAAAGAAAGCTACAGAGAAACCCTGCCTCGAAAAACCAAAAAAAAAAACAAACAAACAAAAAAAAAACCCACAAAATTTTAAGTTAGCATTCATGTTTAATTTTCTGCAATACCAAATCATTTTATTACTATTCTAATCTAGCTTTTTTTTTTAATTTGGGAGAATAAGTTTTTTTCATTATCTGTTACAATTAAATCACAGTGGTTTGGTTTCAACATCCAGTGCTTAATGTTACACATAAAGGCTTTTTCACTTTGCTGTGTTTTAGGTATTTGTCAAGTGTCATTTTGATTATAACCCATTCAATGATAACCTGATACCCTGCAAAGAAGCGGGACTAAAGTTTTCCAAAGGAGAAATTCTTCAGATTGTAAACAGAGAAGACCCAAATTGGTGGCAGGTTAGTTTGATTCTCTGGCCAGTATCTAAAAGTTCAGGAAGTGTTTGTTCCCATGATTGTTCCTGCATGAACAGCTTCTACTTCATATCGGTTAGCTTTGTGGGCAGAAGACCACATTGAGAGAGAATGTGTGAATAGCTGTTAATGAAAGCAGACATAGCCTGCCTATGGCACTGTCTCCTGGTCTAAGGGTTAGGTTAAGCAGTTCTCCCACATGGACAATCAATCACCTTCAGTACGCTATAGGACAAGAAGAACTGAATCCACCTGGAGTCATTGTTTTGTCAATGTTTCTTAATTTGTTTTTGCAATTGTTTATATCAGCTACCAACATAGTATTCAAAATTGAAGACAATGACAAATAGAAACCTAGAATCTTTTCAACTCTGAAAGTTGATTGTGGCCTCATTGGAGAACAGGATGAAAGAAGAAAGGCTCTGGGACCCAGTGCCAATTATAAAAATCCCAGTTGCTGGTAACAGGAGTTAACAGTGATGAATAAATGGTTTCTACAGAGAGACCATCTAATCCCAGTTGCTGGTAACAGGAGTTAACAGTGATGAATTCAATGGTTTATACAGAGACCATCTACAGCGTCACAACAGCCTCAGTGCAGTGTGCCCTGCATGTAGATGGGATGGAGACATGTCTAGCAATACGTGCCCCATGGTGAGATAACTAATAAATGAGTGCAGTAAACAGAGTTCATGATTTTAAGAGGTCTTCACTGAAATACTTAGAAGCTTTTAACACTGTACTTCCTGTGGCTGATTGTTTCCTGTCCCTACCCCCCTTTTCCCTGTTTTATTTTCTGCTAATTCCATCTCTTAGTTTTCTAATCTTCTCACCATCATTTGAGTCTCTTTCTTCATTTAGACAGACTTAATTTTAATTCCAGATTTTAGGGTTACTAAAATAAATGATAAATGTATTTTCTGTCCCAATTATAAGGAGAAACATACACACAGACACAAACACACACATAAAATATTTACTGTATTTTATATACTTTTTTTTAAAGGTTCTTATTTTTGTACTAAATGAAGTTTTACCCATTTTAAATTTATTGTTTTGGAAAATGCAGATTCTTACTAGGATGAATTAAAATTTATGCTGTGTATTCCCCAATATCCTTTCTATTTAACCTTGGGAAGTAACATTCTAGGGTAGAGGTCAGTAGTAAATGGCTTATAAAGAATACTTCTTGAGATGCTTTGGGAGCACTTCTTTGTGTAAAATAGCACTCTCCTTTCCTTTTTTAAGAAGGAATCTCTCTCTCTCTCTCTCTCTCTCTCTCTCTCTCTCTCTCTGCACATTATTAATGGTTGTTTCAAAACATCACTACCAGTTAACATACATGTGAGTCTTAGTTACTTACTAGTTGGTTCCTTAGTATGGTGGTGTATAAATGCTTTAACATAGTTCCATGGATTAAAAGGTTGTTTTCCATAGCAAACTAACTTTAACTGACTGGCACTTGTCCAACTTACTAAAATATTGTCTAAAATTTTGGTCACTGAGATATTAATTTGATTCTAGGCTAGCCATGTGAAAGAGGGAGGAAGTGCTGGTCTGATCCCAAGCCAGTTCCTGGAAGAGAAGAGAAAGGCATTTGTTCGAAGAGACTGGGACAATTCAGGTAAAGAGCTGAACACAAGTAACAGGCAGGGGCTGGGCTCACCTTTCTTTGCCTTTTTTTCTGGATACGCAAATGAATTTATTTCAACTACGTAGAGAATTAATCTTTCCTGTGCATCTGCTTTTTCCTCTCTGAAGTAATTTTTTATCCTTTTCTGCCACCTACTGGTAGAGTATCAATTCAGTGACAAATTCACCCCTTCTCCCAGGAGGTAATTCTCCTGTCTCCTCATAAAACATGACTGGGCAATTTAAAGCCATATGTTGACGTATCTTCTAAATTGTATTGGTCTTGTCGTCCTACAGGACCCTTTTGTGGAACTATAAGCAACAAAAAAAAGAAGAAGATGATGTACCTCACAACCAGGAATGCAGGTGTGTTTAAAATCCTTGTGAAAGATCAAAATAAATAGCATTATCATCAGTTAATGTGTTTTAGTCTCTGAATATATAATTTGAAATGAATGCAATTTATATTAGTGCCAATTACTGGGTCTGGCAGGTGAACACATGATAAAATATAAAGAAATTTAAGTCCCAACTTGAATATAAGTTACAGAAGGATGAAGTTACTAGGGTTTATGTTTGCACTAATGCAGAGGGAATGTTATTGTCTATATTTTTTCAGGGCATTTTGATATAGTAATGTGTGTGACATTTCTAAGGGGTAGAGGGACTTTATGAAGATACTAGATTTAGGAATAGAACTATATGCTGCCATAACATTTTCAAGTACATTTTGCAAAAATGGCACTGGGCCAAATAACTCATCTAGTCTAGTGGGAGTCTTTTAATAATCTTTCTCAAATCTTTTAGGTTTTTGATTTTTTTTTTTTTTTTTTTTTTGGTGGTGGTGGTGGTATTCTTTTTCAAGACAGGTTCTCTGTCGCTTTGGAGCCTGTCCTGGAACTCGCTTTGTAGACCAGACTGACCTTGAACTCACAGAGGCCTACCTACCTTATCCTCCTGTGTGCTGGGATTAAAGGCATGCACCACCACCTCCCGGCTGGTTTTGAATTTTTGAGAGGAGATCTTCTATATGTTTAGGCTGGCCTAGAATTCACTAGTTAATATAGGCTAGCCTCAAACAATTATCTTATACTTTCATTAGGTAGCTCAGGCTGACCTCAGACTGTAAATCCTTCTGCCTCTCCCTGAATCTTTCATCTTAAAGAAAGGAATACTTTTTTAAAGAAAGCAAAATGGTAATCATGAGTAGTAGATACATTTATTAGCTTCATGATACAGTTAAACATCAAATCATCAAGATGTATACTTTAAGAATATAGAATTCCTATTTGTCATTTATGACTCCACAAGCTGAAAAGCCTCTTTTAAAAACCCTTAAATCAAAGGCCTGGGGATGTAGCCATTCTCTGGAATGTACAAGGTGCTAGGTTCAATCCTTAGAGCTAGAAAGGAAAACAAAATAAAAACACCCTCAGACCAATTTGGGTGCATTCCAGAATTAAACCAAAAAAAAAAAAAAAAAAAACCTTCAACCTCATTTGCCAAGAGAAATACAATTTAAAGCTACATTGAGATTCTTTCTCACCCCATGCAGAATGGCATTCACTGAAAAAAACTAAAATTCTGGCAGGGATATAGACAAAAAGGAGTGGTCCTGCACTAACAGGAATTAAACTAGTCCAGCCATTGTAGTTATCAATATAGAATAGAATAGAATTACCTTCATTACATAGCTATTCCCATTCCTGGATGTTTACCTGAGGGACTCAGGTTAACACCACAGAAATACCCTACATCATTGTTACTGCACCATAGTTCACAAGAGCTAAGTTATGGAACTAAGCTAAATGACCATCGACACAAATAAAATGTGGTACATGTACACTACAGAATGAAGTTTCTTTTGCAGGAAAATAAATAACAGCTGAAGATAATCATGCTACAAAATTAAGTTGGTCTTAGAAACACAAACATCATGTTTTTTCTCCTACTTGTGGACCCTAGATTTTATATAGATACATAAAAATCATATGTGAGCTGTTGACATTACAGGAGAAGGGAAACCATCTAGGGAAGTAAAAACAGTAAAGTAAGGGATGAGAAAAGGAAGGGTACAGGGAAATGTGCTCAAAGTGCACTGTGTGTCTGTGTGAAAGTGGCCTGATGTGAACCAATATAATACAAAGAATGAAGAAGGAAGCTAAATATGGAAGCTGTCATATTTATTTTTCTTGACTTCAAAGTTACCCATCCTAGTAATAAAGGACACACAAAGAAAATCATACGGGAGGAAGGAATGGTGTTTTTCTCTACAATATTGGTTTAATTTACTATGAAGAAATTGTATGTATACTATGAAGAAAAGGATGAATTGTTAAGATGATAACGTAAGGATGAAGTGTTATTGCTGCAGATAAAGTCAAGCAGTGATAATGGGTAACCTGTTATTTCTGAATCACTTCAGTTTTATTATTCATTAACTATATATCACTTAATTTTTTAAGCAAAATCTATAACTTTTTCATTGATTTGGTTTATAATTTAAAGCAGTAGTCCACTGAAAATGCTTCTTTTTCCAGCATTTAATTTTACGTATAAATTTTAGAATCTTGATATTTAGATGTGAGTGTGCTGTCATTGGAGGTGACAGTCTGTACAAGTGAAGCAGCCAAGCAGGTTGTCTTCTGTTCTACTTTGCATGAACTTTTTAATGTAAATTGCATAAGCTGTAGTTTGATTGGTGTTTAGGTAATCGTTTCTACTGACAAATTGCTGATAAGCCTTTAGTGTGTAGAATATTGAGAAATACACATAAAACTCAAGGATTTTTCTAGCACAGTAAATGAGTATCTGAGGGCAAATGAGTGGGGACAGACATTTAAGTCAAGATATAAATAATTTTCTATACCTTACCAAATTTGTAAAAAAAAGAAAAAAAAGAAGCCTGTGTCAGATGTGCACAAATCAAGTGATAGTTAACTGTCAAGGCAAGAAGACCATAGCATACAGAATACCAGGGAATGTTCTGTGTGTATAAAGTATAACTGAATATAATGTTGTCCCATTATTTTCACATTTAGAGTTTGATCGTCATGAAATTCAGATCTATGAGGAAGTAGCAAAAATGCCACCCTTCCAGCGAAAAACATTAGTGTTGATAGGAGCACAAGGTGTGGGCAGAAGAAGCTTGAAAAATAGGTTCATAGTGCTGAATCCCGCTAGATTTGGAACAACGGTGCCATGTAAGTCTTGTGTTTCCATTTGTTGGGTATATGGAGAAAAGGATTATTATTAACTAACATTAATTCCACATAAAATGTAACGAAGCCAATGAACATGGAAGAGTAGACTGTGCTGGAAATCCGTATGGCCCTGCTGCTGTCTTAGGTAGTGTGCCAGCTGCTGCTCAGTGGTAGTTACATCTGTAAACTCTTCATTCCAGAAGCTAAAGGCAAATGCATTTTAGAGTTGTGGAAATCACATGTATTTGGATTTTCTTGTGTAACTATTATTATCCATCTATTTGTATTTTTCACCCTATACCATACAATATATTTAAAAGGAGAAAGCCTACTAGATGCTCAGATACTAAGTATGACAGTAGCTTTGTGAATTTAGGTAGTCTAGTTTAAATTGAAGCCCTTGGCCCTGCAGAATCATAATAAGCCTGATCCTCTGGAAGCAAGTTCTCAACAGGAGAACAATATTCGCTAAACTTACTGAGACTATGCTGATGAGAACATTCAGGATCAGACTGACTTTGTAATCTTCCTTCCTCCTATCATTTTCATGTTTACATAGAAAATTTAGTGATGTCAGAAATGGAGTAAGTGGAGAGTTCAGATAATCACTGATGTTATAATGTTGCTGCAGCCGGTGTTGGTGGCCCACATCTTTAATCCCAGCCCTCGGGAGGCAGAGGCAAGGGGATCTCTGTGAGTTCCAGGACAGCCTCCAAAGTAATACAGAGAAACCCTGTCTCGAAAAACCAAAAAAACAAATAATGCTTGCTGCCCATTTGACAAGAAGCGTGAGCAAATGGCCTGATAGGAACAACTTCATGGAAGAGAAGGATTTATGGTAGCCTGTGGTTTTCCAGGATTTTCCTTGGCTCCTTTGATATTAAGACTCATGGTAGGGTAGAACACCATGGCAGCAGGAGCATGTGAAGAGGAGGCTGCGGAGAATAAGGGAGTCACCCAGAACAAGGCATGCCCGCAGCCATCAGCTTTCTCCTATGGCCTAGTTTCTAAAACATCCCAACTTTTAATACAGTACCACCAGTTAGGGACAATTCATATTCCAAGCATAGAACACTTGTGGCCTCTTCTCTCCTACAAATCACTTTGCCGAAAGCTAATTTTAATGTGCTATGGCTTAGAATGTCTTAGGACTTGTTTTTGATTGTCTTAGTTTTGTTTGGGTTGTTTTTTTTTTTTAGATTTATTTTTCTATTATGTTTAACTAGGTGTGACTGTGTCTACATTGGGTATATGCCTGAGTGTAGGTCTCATAGAGACGAGAGGCACAGAACACCTCCTTCCCCGAAAGTTGAAGTTATAGACAGTTGTAAGATACCTGGCAGGGTATTATGAGCTGAACCCAGATCCTGTGGAAGAGCACCATGTACTCTTAACTGCTGAGCCATCTCTACAGTCCCTCCCTAGTTTCATTTTAGCTTTAAAAATACCTTATTTTTTACTCAGTAACAAGCTTTTTGGGGTGTGTGTGTGTGTGTGTGTGTGTGTGTGTGTGTGTGTGTGTGTGTGTTTCACATATATTTAGTTTGGGTTGCCTTCCCCTTCAACTCTCCCATCTCTGTCCATCCTCTGCCCCCAGCATTCTATTTCCATCTCTTATTATATCTTACCCTCTCCATGTCCTTCTTTGTATCCTTTTTTCCCCCTCGTGTCTCTTTTCTGGTTTCATGACCTCTGCCCTCACACATTCCCACAGAAAATACAGATACACACACATAGAATCGTACAACTAGAGTTGTAAATGAGGAACATGTAGTGTTTATCTTTCTTAACCTGGGCTACTTCATTTAATATTTTTCCAATTCTATCCATTTTCTTGCAAATATCACTTTTCTTTATAACCAAATAAAATTCCCGTGATGTGTGTGTGTGTGTACATACATTTTCATTATCCATTCATTAGTTGATGGCATCTAAATTGATGCCATTTCCTTATAATTTTTTTAATAGAACAACAATAAACATTGGTAACCAAGGGTCTCTTGGGTACATTCCTAGAAATGGTATACTTAGGCCACATCCTAGTTCTGCGTAGAGTAGTTGTGGTGGTGGTATGTGTGTAAATATGTTGTCTTCATGTAGGTATATGCACATGCAGAGGCCAAAGTAGACGTTGCGTATCTTCTTCATTGCCCTCCTTTCCTTACTTTTTGAGACTCAATCTCTCACTGTATCTGGAGCTTACTGTCTGTTTTGAGTAGGCTGACGGGCAGTGAGCTCCAAGGATCCTTTCTGGTTCTATATCTCACCGAACCCCTGCCTCCTGCACACCTCCCAGACAAGCCCCAGTATTTTTTAATGTGCATGGCTCTTTTCGCTTATGTATGTCTGTGTACCACATGCTTGCATGGTGCCCACAGAACCCAGAAGAGAAGAGGGTATAGGATCCCCAGAACTGGAGTTACACCTGGATGGTTGTGAGTCATGATGTGTTGCTGGAAATTGAACCCAGGGGTCCTCTGGAAGAGTAACCAATGCCCTTGCCCTTAACCACTGAGCCATTCTCTAATCCCCTGTGGCTTCCATTTGGGTGCTAAGGAACCAAACTTGTATGACAAGCAAGCAGCTTACCAGCTGAACCATGTCCTTATCTAGTTGTAAGTTTTTTGAAGAGTCTCCAAACTGATTTCCGTAATGATTGTACCAGTTTGCACACCTAGCAACAGTGAATAAGGATTCCCCTTCTCTAGATCCTTACCAGCATTGGCCTATTTTTATGCCAGCACCATGCTCTCTTTGTAACAATGGCTCTATAGTATAGTTTGAAATCAAACAATTTGATTCCTCCAGCTATGTTCTTTCTGTTTTGAGTTGTTTTGACTATCCAGAGTCTTTTCTGCCTTCTGTTTGAGGATTGTGTTTTCTAGTTCTGTGAAGGATACCATTGGAATTTTTATGAGATTGCACTGAATCTGTGGATTATGTTTTGTTTGTAGTATCTTTATAGTATTGCTTCTGCCTGTCCATAAGCAGGTCTTCCCATTGTCTAGCACCTTGTTCAATTCTTTTTTCATTTTGGTTTTAATGGATTTTTTCCTTTGAATTATTTCATCTTTTCAAAGTTAATGCATGTCATATTAACAAAGCTGGTTCAATAATAGCAATAATAAATATGTTCCCAAAAAACAGAATTGTGTTTATATGCTTCCATTCGCACAACTATCCAAAGGTAGTAAACATTCTTTTATCTGTCTGCATCCCTCTGCACCACATCATTACCTCATTTTACTGTATTTAATTATTGCTTTCCCAAGTTCTCGGTTTATTTCTTCCTTAACACCTTCATTCATATAAAATCCACATGCCATTCTCTTCACCAGATTTGGTTATCTTTGACTTTTAGCATATTCACATAGTTATACAAGTATTTCTGTTGTTTCATGATTTCTGCAGAGTTCTCAGTAGCATAACCCACTCTCATTCCTGAATTTAGTGAATTCTTCCTAAATATTTGTCAGTTTTGTTTTTTTCAGAAAAGTTTTTAAATTGTATTTTCTGTGCCTAATTTCAGTTTAATCTTACTTCCTTTTTTCTACTTGCTCTTTGGGATTAGGATACTCTTTTCCCATTTCTCTTAAGTAGAAAGGTTTCTCACTGGAGATTTCCTTTTAACAGACACATATATGTCCTTTCACTTTTATTCTTAACCAAATAGATGCTTTTCTAGTTCATTTATTTGGTTAAAAGTGAAAGGAAAAGTAACAACCCACTGGCTTTGGGTGCCTTCTCTCTGACACTCCTGTTCACTTTTGTTAAGCAGTCTGTCCATATAAGCTACCATCGGTTTCTTTATTTCTTGAAGCTTACCACAGTGCTGACAGAGTCCTCCACAGCTATGCTAGCTAAATTATCCTCTTTGAAAGCAAAGACAAAAAATGTGCTGACCAGCCACCAACACCCAGGACACTTGCCAGCTGCTCTAAAGCAGTACCATTTTCATCTGATCTTACTTGTGATTTCTTATTTGACCTATTTTGAAATATATTATTTAAATTCACACATTTTTTTATTTTTCCAGATTTTCCTGTTAGTGATGATAATTCCATTCACTGTGTCCAGAGAACATGTGTGATTTTATTCCCCTTAAACTCATTGGGAATTGTTTATAGCTTCAGATATAATTTGTCTAGGAGAATGCTCCTTGTTCTTGTACACTTGGGAAAATGCATTTTCCTGTTGTTGACTGGAGTGCTACATAAATATATTCTGCTAGCTGGTCTGTAACATTGTTCAAATCTTCATTTCCTTTGTGACCTTATGTTTGTTCTTCATCACTGGAAGCCTTGAGGTCTGCTCTTTTGTTGACTTGTCTGTTTCTCTCTTCAGTTCTGTTTTGTTTCATATATTTGGAGATTCTGCTATAGTTAGGTACTTCTATGTTTATAGACATCTAACTTCTGGGTGAATTGACCCTTCTGTCTTTGTAAATGCTTTTCATTGTCTCTAGCTTTTGTCTCAGTGTTTTGTCTGATGTGTGTACCTGTCTCTGGGTACTGCTTGCATGTATGTCTTTTCCATCCTTTACTTCCAACTTACTTGTGTCTTTAAGTATAAATTGTCTTTTGTAAACAGCATATAGTTTGATCAGTCTTTCCAATCTATTTTGCCAATCTCTTCCTTTTAGAATTTTATCCATTTAATATAGGTACTAATACTGTAAATGTCCCTTAGTGGGAATTTACTTGATTGTTTCCTCCTAATTTCAGATACACATCAGGAGAGTTGCATCTTGTCTTTGTGCCCATTATTGATGCTAATGTTGGTCATTGATTTAATTATTGTGGGGTTTGGTAGGTTTTTTCCACTACAAATCTGTAGTTTACAGTTAACCAACCTGTTCACAGATACTTGCAAACAGAGCGGCTGTTTTCCACAAATTTTCACCCAGTGATTTAAGCTTCTGTCAGTAATAGAACAATATAAAAGCTTTGCCTAAGTTTGGAGGAACTTCTGTCTGCTCTCAGCTTGTTTAAATACACAAATAAGCTTTATTTCCTAGTGTTCTGACCCATGCTATTTCTGTCAGCTAGTAAAAACTGCTTTGTTGAATGATTGAGCACAGAAAGGAAAGAACTAGGGTTTTATCTAGTCTCTGATGATCTGTGTTCCTTTTTCCTTCTTTACCTTCAGGCCTCTAGAAGAATCGATAACCTCCTGGTTACTTTCAATTTCATAACTGTGGCATCTTGTTAAACAAATCTCATTTTTAGGCATTAAAAACAAAAACTGCTGGTTGCCAACAAAACTGAAGCCATGATTCCAGTTCACAGTTACTGCCTTCCTACAGCTCTTCTTCATCTGTAACACAGTAGCTGTATTGGGAAGGATGGGGTATGGGTTATTTTATTACTTGGTTTATGTCCTTCTCTGCTACTTCAGTTTCTTGTGAGCTGTTGTAAGAGTGAGTGCTAAAAGGAAAGAGAAAGTGTTGCATAAGATCTTGCTTGCTGGAGTTCTTTGTCTTGAATTTCCAAATAGTGTGTCTTCAGTGTCTTTTTTTAGAGTCCATTGGAGATTTCCATACTACAAATTTTCCTGGCCAAGAGTATTAGAATTTCTAATTATATTCCCTTGGAATCTTACCCCAAGCTCTTATACCATAGCTTCTGCAATTATCTCTGTACTGGTTCCAGGATAACCACGCCCCACTTCACTCCCCAAAGAACTAAAATCCAAGAATATTTCAAGTCCAAAGAATTTTGCATATACCCCATGCAAAACTTTCTGCAGATGCTTAAGTCATTTGAATTATTTATGATACCAAAAATAATGTTAAGTGGGCTATAAATAGTTGTATTGCTTAAAGAACAGTGACAAGACAAAACTCTGTCCATAGTCAGTACAGATATTTTTTGTTTGTTTCTGAATTTTCCCATCCATGGCTAGCCTGAATGTACAGGTACAGAGCTAACAGATGTAGAGGGTTAGGTAGTATGTTTTCTCTTACTGTCTTTCTGTGGGAAGAGCCTTCAAGAAAGCTCAGAAAAGTGGGCTATCTTTTGGACATGCATATACATGCATGCATTAGCCTAGGAAAGTCATTTTTGTTTTACCATCAGTGGCCGTACAAACCACCCCACTGCTATGGCATGACAACATAGGCCTTGAGCATTCTTCTGGAAAAATAATTTTACTATGTAGGGAAAGAAAAGACAACACATTTCTCCCTAAACCTATGACTCAAAACTCATTGACTCCTTTTTGGATATACCTAAGATAGTAGGGCTTAGATAGATGGACCTATCTAATGACTATTTTTGGTAAACTGCAAAAGATAGAGTACATCCTTAAAATGATAGCATCTGTTTAGGAAGTCTGAGACTGAAGTTAAAATTCTACTCAGCATTCTATTTACACTCTTACAGAAAGCATTCAAAAGTATTTAATACTGATTTTGTGCTTATAGAATCTCAGTTGCCTTGTTCAGGTCAATGCTGCATACTATACCCACTTAGTATACTAGTCTTTTCTTCAAGCAACTCTAGCTCATTATTCATGCCTTTGTTTCTTAACTTGTCTGGGTTCCCAGAGCACCCACTCTTTTGTACTTTCACATGCTTGAAGTGTGCTTTTATTCAAGGACAACTGACAGTTCAACTTCATGCAACTTCTCCAGTTACCTAGTGGTTGTGGTATAGCACCTAAATATTTGTTGATTAGTCACTGAGAGAGGGAGAGGGAGGGAGAAGAAAAGAGGGAGGGAGAGAGAGAATTTAGTTCTTCTTTGACCTACTACCTAGAACAGGTTTCTATATAATAGGATGACCAATAAGTATTTGATGATGAATGAATCGCCATCATGTGTCTTTTCTGCCAGGTCATCAAAGTTTTTTCATAAACATAGTCTTATCATTAAACAAACAAACAAAAACTCCAATTCAAAAATGGATAAAGAGCTTCAGTAGACATTCAAAATTGCAAATAAAGACAGGAACACCTGCTTGGTATCATTAATCATTGGATAAACCTAAAGATCACAGTGAACCACTTCATAACCATTCGGATGCTGGGAGCAGGGATGAATTGCTATAATGGGGAGGGAGGATTTATTTAAGGTGCACAGAGTTTGGAATGACAAGAGAAAACTCTGGGAGTAGATAGTATACTGATTTATTAGTTGCACAACAGTCTGAGTGTACTTCATGCTACTGAGTAGTATACTTCAGAATGTCTAAATGATAACTTTTATGAATATTTTACCACCACTAAGTTTTTATTCATTCAATATCTTCTAGTTATGTAAGAATACAAATTATTAAAATATGTTCAGTATTTTTAAAATCTGCTGTTCATTGATGGGCACTTAAGTGATATCCCTGCCTTGTGTACTGCAGGTAAGGCCATAGAGTGGGATTGCTTGTTTCCATACATAGTACATATTGTCAGGTGAGGCTAGTGGTGTCATGGTGATTTGTTAGAATTTTTCAGTATATTGTAGAAATAGGATAGAAAAACAGTGTTATCTCAGGAAGATAAGCTATAAATCCTGTTTTGTTTTGCTTTTACTATGATGACCTTGGGCTTGGTTAACACATGGAGTGTTTCTTTGTTGACTCTTTACTGCTAAAATTTAGAATTTTGCCAGTCTTAAAATTTAACTTCAAAGAAGTACCACTATTTAATGTGTATGTGTATAAGCCTAAGGAATAAGTACAGTCATTCTGCTCTATCTGAAAAACGAAAAGGAATTTAAAATATGGCAGTATCCCCTTTGGCATGTCCAGTAGAGGGTAGAGTTATAGTTGAAAACACTTGTAAACATGCTGCCGTGAGCTGGGATTCTCTGAACGTTTTGGGAAGTGATTTGTGTGTGTTTGCATTTACACACTGATACATAAATGTTGTCAAAGCAGGGCTTCACCAGAAGATGCAACTTTTAAATTAGAGTTACATATACTGAACCAAGTCCTTGTGTGTACTTATGTGGGAGGCTTAAAATTATCTTGGATATCTTGTCATATGATCTTTGGTGACATTTCATTTCATGGGTTTTTGTTTGTTTTTGTTTTGTTATTGTTGCTCTTGAGTGAGGAGAACCATCATACCATCTTGAAGATTCTTGAAATTAGTTCAAGACAGCAGAAGACAACTATACATATGATCTCATTATAAACTATACCTTTACCTTGAATTTAAAGTTCTTTTTGTTTTCTTCCGAAAGTTTTCTTGGTGTCTTATGCTTTTTACCCATAAGTTAAAAGTCTGTCGACTTTTTCTTTATATCATTTATTTTAATTTCACATAATTAATGAATTGCTCAGATATTTTCCATTTACTTAACAAAAATGGAGTCCAGTAAAACTTAAATTCAGGCTAATGCTGAAATAATACAAAAATTATTTGTCTTCAAAGCTACTGTTAAATTCGGCAGAGTACACCTTTGCAGAGATGTCAAACATGGTAATAAAATCATTCCTAGTACAGACCAAATTGTCATAACCTTACTTGCCTGAAAGCATTCACAGATGCAAATAACACATGAAAGGTACCCTGCACTTGGACTTTGGAATTGGGGTATTCATTCTGGTTTGGAAACCATAGGTCAGAGTAGAGAAGACCATAATGATAACGGCGTATAAAATCAAGTCCTTAACATTTGGGAGTATCAGAAAGCAGGAAACTAAAAGTAAAGAAATTATGTCCTAATTTGTGGGTAGAATTGCACTTCAGAAAATAGTTACTACCAACTAAGTGGGAGAACTGTGCTCACCTTTGGATAGTCAGTTAAATGTTTGACTGCAAAGAGGAGCAGAGTAGAATCTTCAAGAAAAAGGAGAGCACCATTTATAAGGAAAAGGTATTCATTCACTGGCACCAGGCCTAGGACTGCTAAATAAGTATGTTTTAAGTTTCAAGTTGGATTAAAAATCACATTTTTGATAGAAAGTTTATATTGGGCACCGTCCCTTTAAACATTCTCTTTAGATCAACAAATAGTCCTGTTCAAAGGTTATACAGTTTGTGTCATAGCTGCTATTTTAATGGAAAAGAAAATGTAGACATTGAATAAACAAATATGCATGGCTGTGGCTCAAAACTTTATTTGCGAAACCAGGAGGTAGATCAGTTTAGCCAAATCCATATACTAAGTGAAACATGTGAGGCTATCAATGTGTATTTTAGTCTATATTTCACAATCTACAAATTATTTTATTCCAGTTACTTCACGGAAGCCAAGAGAAGATGAAAAGGATGGACAGGCATATAAATTTGTGTCCCGATCAGAGATGGAAGCAGATATTAAAGCTGGAAAGTATTTGGAGCATGGGGAATATGAAGGAAACCTCTATGGAACTAAGATTGACTCTATTCTTGAAGTTGTACAAACTGGACGGACTTGCATTTTGGATGTCAACCCACAAGTGAGTTGCATGAATTCCAAAGCCATTGTTAATTTTTATTTTCCTGGGGAGCTTTTGGCCGTATGTAGGGTGTGAGGAGAGAGGGAGATGTTTTATCAAGGTGGGAATATGGTTCTTTCTCAACTTCATTATGAGTCCATGGCTAGATACATAGACAAATGTCAGACAGCCAAGAGAACAAAGATTAGTAACACTTGATTTTACAACATTTGGCATTTTAGGAAAGTGCTTTGTAAAGTTAGGACAAGGGGCACAGGCAGTAAATTATGTCCTTAACCTTTGGAAAGAGACAGACTTCTGTTTATACTAATGGCCAGCACACTTCAACTTCTAACATTATATAAATTGGTTTGTAATTACTTTTTGCACAGGCATTGAAAGTATTGAGGACATCTGAGTTCATGCCCTATGTGGTATTCATTGCTGCTCCAGAGCTAGAGACCCTGCGTGCCATGCACAAGGCTGTGGTGGATGCAGGAATCACCACCAAGCTTTTGACGGTAGGGAGCTCTTTTCAAGTTAACACTTTTCTTCTCCCTTTTCTTCTGAGTATGTTTAATCCTATCTAATCATACTTAGGAAGTCACTGCACTATGTAAAGTGCTACAGAGTGAAAATTGATTTACTAGATGTAATTAGGATTTGAAATAATATTGCTTTTACGTGACAGTCCTTCACTTTAAAACAGAACTTGAGATTTAGAAAATGAAAAAGATCAGTATTGGAATATATACATTGTAGTCTTTGCATCTACAGCCCTGTGTAATCCTGAAACCATCTTGCTTCCTTGGATCTTAGACTGTCATCACTCTGTCTAAATGTAGATCTTTTAAAAGTCTTTGTGCCTAAGTATGTTTTCTTCTAAAGTACTTCAAAGTTGCAAAGTTTCTATTTGTCCTTTATATGCCTTTTCTACCAAAAAGTAGGAGCCCTTTCTGTTTTACTTTTATCTACTGATTCTGAAACTTTGCAAACATTAATAGGATCCCAATTCATACTTGTAGAATTACATATGAAGGTGTAGTAAAAGTTTATGGAAAGCTTTACCTTCTCATACAAAACCCATCACTTAGGTACTCTACTCCCTGTGTTGTTCCAAACCATCTAGGACTAGATACAATGCAATCAACAATCTTAGACATAAAGATGAAATCTATGGGTGTGTGTTTTAGCACAGCTTAGTCTTCCAGTCACACTTTTAAGAGTCTCTGCCTTTCTAAGTGACAGGAGACAAATAGGCTTTGAGTTGAACAGCCATTACAAGCTGGGACCCTGGCTTTACACAGGCCATGGGATGACACTCTTTTGGAAAGGATTATATAGAAGTCAGCTAGAAGTCAGCCACTTGTAGTAATTCTTGCATTATCTTAGACTCACCCTAATAGTATTAGGAATTTCATTCTAATGACAGCAGAACAGAAGGTATAGAATACTCATAAATCATGGAAATAGATGGAAAGATTACAACATGAACAGGTATCTGGTAGTACCTTCTTCAGCGCTGTATAAGGTAGATTTTGAGAACTGGCATCTGAATTCCAACAAATATCCAACTCCCTCATTTCTTATTCACATTACATCTGAACAAGTCAGTATGTATTACAATGCAAACTTTTTTTTTTTTTTTTAACATTCACAGGACTCTGATTTGAAGAAAACAGTGGATGAAAGTGCACGAATTCAGAGAGCATACAACCACTACTTTGATTTGATCATCGTAAATGACAATCTAGACAAAGCCTTTGAGAAACTACAAACTGCCATTGAGAAACTAAGAATGGAGCCACAGTGGGTCCCTATTAGCTGGGTGTACTGATGATTCAATAAGGCTAACAGTTAAATAAAACTTTTAAAAAGTGACTCAACAAGTAAACCTTCTACTGGGAGAATACATGCAGAGGTAGAAGGCATCTGCCACATCTAGGCATTTTTATTGTGTAGATTGAAATAACAGTGCACTAGGTGGAATTTTTATATAATTGTGGTTGGGAAGGTGTAATAATATATAATTTCTCTTAATTTTTCTAACTTTTTATGGATAACCTTTCTATTCATATCACATAAAGAAATGCGTTCAAGCATTTTGTAGGTTTTGATTTAGTACCCTTTTTTCATCAAAGGAATTTTCAGATCATTCTCTTCAATGTTGGTCTCACATTTTCACTGTGATAATGAATACTTGAAATAGTTTTGTAAAGCTATCATTCTCTTCAGTGTTTAGTGAAAGGTCAATTATTCTCATTAGAAAAAACTAGTAGTTACTGACTTCTTAATTGGACTTCTTACAGATGCAGAATTTGAATATCAGTGCGATAGCTAGTCCACTTCTATCTTAATCTGACATCAAGTCTTTTCAATGCCACCTCTTACTTCAGAGTATGGCTATTCTTTCTTATTTGTGCAGAGAGATCACCTAGCGCCCCCCCCCCATTTCTCTCTCTAGTGAATACAATGAAGAGCAATAGCTTGCACTCTCTGTAGGCTTACTCTTTTCATTTGTTGCAGTGATTTGCTGATGCTGACTAATGTTGCATTTTAGTTACTTTGTGAGCTCGGGCTGGAAGCAAGGTCATGCAGACAGAGAGTGCCTTATCCTGCAAAACTTCACTCAACTTAATGTTTACTTATTTTCAAATACAAAGTTTCAAACCTGTGACTTCAGTCAACTTTTTTAAAGAAATAGTCAGCAAAAGTATGCCTCTGCAAATGTTTGTGATATTTAAAGATGTCGCTAAGCTGCAAGCAGTTTGTTAATCATCAGATGTGGTTTCTGAAATGGGAAGTGATTTGTTAGGGTATTTGTTCTCTGTGTTGAAACCAAGTCCATTGAACAGTTTACAAAATTTGGAAATGATGACCATCTATTTATATACACAAACATAGCACATACATTATGTATACTAAATAATGTTCTTTACTCTTTAGATTTCGGCTAGGAAAAAGACTTCTTACATAATGATTAGGAACCAAATCCTTTATCTACATTGCCACAGTATAGAGGTTTCCACATTCACCTCGGTGATGTTCTCCTCTAGGAGCTCCAATGGTCCATATTATCCCTTAAGTGCATGCATTTAGTGGTGCAGCTCAGCACTGAACTACACTAACCTTATTTTATATTGCTGCTAGCGTTCCAATTCAGAACAGTCACATTTAAAGGGTTTGGTGCTTAAATACTGGTGAGTGTCTTTGGTGACAGGCTCCAGACACCTGGATTCTGGCTTTGTCTTTCCCCTCATCAAAGTTATATATCCATCTATATAAAGATATTGATAGAGATACGCACATACATGCATACATATGTATATGGTAATAAGCTATATTCACACAATATTTTTTATTATTCCCATAATAAAACACCTAAAGTTACCATACTGTTAATAAAGGGACTCTGCAGGCTTTTAAATTTTAATTCTAGAATTTCATAGCCAAAATATCAATTCTTTTTCTTTTTTTCCAGGACAGAAATTGTTAACAAAGTGGATCATACACTCTTAATAACTTTTTAAGCCACATGTATTTGCTGGAATTCTTGGATTCTCAAAGCATAAAGCATCATAAGTCAAAGCACAGTGTTTACATGGCACCTTGTGACTTAATGTTTCAACACACTGTAATGTAAGTTTGGAGAGAAATTTCAGTTCTGCACTCTCAGGAAATGGACCATATTCCCCAATGTACCTTCATGTTATTTCATGAAGCCTTTCTAAGCAGCTTTGGGAAAATTATATCAGCACAGCAGTCTATCCACAAGTATCTCTACCATCTTGATAACAAAAGAAACAGTAGTTACATATGTATTATATCCTTATCATGTGATACAAAAATGCACACCATCTCTACTTAACATTATTTCTGAACATGGCACTCATAATTAATGACATAAGTAATCACAGATTTCTCCTAATGAAATGATACAGTTTAGTTCACTGTCCTATAGATGCCAATATTAAGAAAGTACAACTGTTTCTCTGTGAAGAATCACTGAACTTGTAACTTAGTCCACACCTGAGTCTGGTAGGAACCATCAAGCCTCACACCAGGATTCCTCCTAGGTATTATGATAAGGAAATTTATACTTCTCTTATTTATAATAACAGAATGTGAAAGGGCTTACAGTGGCATTCAGTAATTGGTAATAAGTAAAATATATACACACACATGCATGTTCTTCAGGAAAATGTTTTGTATGTGTATTCATAAAATGCACCGCAGGATGAGAGTCCACATTCAGTGTTCAGGGCATGGTTATTTCTTCACAACTAATGGTTATATGTATTTTTGCATTTTCAAATGTACAAATGCTTGTAGAAACGATGTCGCTGAACAAGTCATTTAAACCTTTGCTAATGGAATATATTCAATGCCCTACAGTAGATTTTTTGCCTTCATTACCACTGTGCTTTTTTGTGCAGTTTCCATTTTTGTGTTTTTAGATAATAACAGATGTCAAATACATCAGGAATGTCTGTTTTGGCTGAATTGATACAGTTGTTGACCATAGCTTCCTAAAATAGAAATCATAAACCAAATAGGACTAAACCCTAGATTCTATAGTCTGGTAAGGTTATTTATTTTTTTTCCTTTAAAATGCCAAATTAGTTATTAAAATGTTTAAAAAATAGCAGGCCATTGATTATGGCAAAAATGATGATTTTTGTCAGGCTTGGTAATGTAAGCACTCAGGAGGCTGAAGCAGGAGGATTTCCAATTGGAGGCTGGCCTGCATAGTATAACAAGACCCTGCCTCAGAAACAAAACAACAAGAGCCCAGGGCTATAACTTTGGTAGAATGTGTGCCTAAATTAACATGTGTGAGATCCTGGGCTTAATCCCCAGCAACACAAGAAATGATCCCTACTTCAAAAATTAATTAAAATGGTACTTACTTTTATGTATAACAAGTATCATGACTCAGTGATTGAAGTTGATTGCCAAGGCCACCAAATTAGTTAAAACTATTTTAAATGGATAAATTCAAATTATAAAAAGTTTGAAAATGGTAAAAAAAAAAAAATAGCAGTCTACTTATTTTTATGCCTACTGAAACAGTTCTTCATTATTAACACTGGAGGACCCTACCTCCACAGTAATTAATCATCACACTAAAAAAGGAAAAGGCAGTCCTGAAGTTTTGTGTGCATAAATAGTTCATTTTCTTAAAAAATACACACACACACACACACACACACACACAAAGCTATGTGTGTAGTATGTAACTATCTCCCAAAATTAATGAATAATAGAACTAAATATATTTGCCAATATATTACAGCTAGTGTTCTAAGGTTTTTAATTACTTTCAAATTCCTAGACATTCTGATCTATTTTAGATTCTTTTAAGAGGCTTTGTGTCCACCTTGAAGCTGACATTAATCTCCTTTCTGAAGATTTTTTTAGAGACACTAAGCTCAGAAACTGTTTCTCATTATTAGAATTTGATTTCCTTAAGAAAAAACATTTCTGGATGGAGCCTCTTGGGAAATATTTACTTAAACTTTGAAGTGAAATTGTGCTATACGTTAGACTTAAAGATTACAGTGCCTGCCCTCCTCCTGTTCCAAGGGATTTGCTGTGAGAATTCTTACAACATCTGTAATGTATTTGGAGTTCTTGGGAGAAATTCAGTATTTTAAATAATGAGATTATTGTATATAACTGAATATTATTCACAGATTTTTAAGAATACATTTGATGAATAATTCAGCATCATTTTGGTCTTTTTCTAAGTATATATGATACACCTGAAGAAGATGATAATTCTATAGTTTTTTAAGGTAAGGTTGTTTTTAAATTGTATTTTTGTTTTAGCTTTTAAAGTTATATTCTTTCAAAAATATTTCTCATAGTTCATCTTGTTACTTTGTATCCTGGAGTGACTTTTGAAAACTGCAGAATCACATGTCCTTAGTGGACTAAAAATGGAGAGAATGATGCTCTCTTTTCTAAGGTAAGCACGATCTGCACCACTTGGGCAAAATTACAAGATTGTCTTAAAAAAATAATCTCTTATGATAAAAGTAAAAATAGTTGTACTACTTCTACTAAGGTCCTACTTTTGACCGTGTGGTTTTGGTAACATTTAATTGCCCTTTACCTTCCACGTGTTGTGCAGGGCTAAGTTAATACTTGTCTTCATCTTAAACTCTAAGCAGTAGCTTGTGATTGTGATGTGGTAGCCTCTGACACTGCTTATTAAATGTGTTCTCTTACCCGAGGTTGCTTCTCCTTCAGTCCCTGTGAAGTCACCTCATTCGGAGGTTAAGCAGCAGATGGGTTGAGGAACCCGTCCCCAGGGTTAAGAGAGCTCCTTGATGGAGCTGTGGTCTGGCAGATGATCTGGCCTGCCTTTCAGTGGTCCTTCTCTAGGTGGTCACACTCTAGGAGTTCCATTAGACCCCCCATTCCAAGTCCCTAGCTGACGACTGGTCTTAGTACTCTGAAGCTGCCCTTCCTTATCCGTGTGCCTAAAATTTACACTGCGACCCAATTATCTATCCATAAATGGGATACCTCAAATCTGGCTTCCCTCCTACTAGTCAATGTTGCCTGAGAACATAGAGGAAACCTAAAACTAGTTAAGAGAAAAGAAAGATCACAACATTAAAACTGTCTAGCTTAGTGTACACATGGCTGTAGGCACACGCCAACACCCCACAAACAAGCAAAAACCCTTCTCAGCTATAAATTACATTAAACCAGAAGCCATTATCATTTAAGACATGATTACACCTATGTCAGAGAGCAGGTTAGTGGTAGCACTGCTAATAAGTGTGGTTGTCCAAGTGAGAAATACCTTAGTCTTTACAGGAAGAGACACTTAGACACTGTACTGTTATGGAACGAGCATGCCTTCTCAGTGAGAAGTCACTCTGAGCACATAGAAATTAATAGAGGAAAATTCCTCTAATAATAGCATGTGCCTGGTCTGACTAACACACAAAGGCAGAGCAGCCTCAAATAGAAGATTGTACCAACTTATATAGGCCTTGGGCTTATACATTCCATACATGCTGCCAGGAGTCCAAAACTCCCAATTGTTTGAGGAACAAAATTTTCTTCCCTGCCATTTCTGACATGCACACGGCTTATCTCCCAGTTCCCTATGGAGGTGCCACTCCCTTATCTAAGTTCTCCTTTGTAAAGTATCTTCTTTATAACACCACTGCTGCTAGTTCATGTTTCTCCTATATCAATATCTGAACAGGAAATGCAAAGTAGATGCTCGTTTTCACTGGTTCCTGTTTCTTCTGTAACACTTGGTTTTTGTTGCTTTTTTGGTTTCTAGTTTTGTTTTTAAGTGATGTCTTGCAGAAGAATGAGCAATAGTGTTGTCTTAGTTAGGGTTGCTATTGCTGTGATGAAACACCAGGATCCAAAACAAGTTGGGGAGGAAAGGAGTTACTTGGTTTACAGTTCCATATCACTGTTCACCAATGAAGGGAGTCAGGGCAGGAACTTAGAGCTAGGAGCTGATGCAGAGGCCATGGAGGAACTCTGTTTGCCAGCTTGTTTCTCGTGGCTTGCTCAGCCTGCTTTCTGATAGAACCCAGGACCACCAGCCCAGGTGTGGCACCATCCACAGTGAGCTGGGTCCTCCCCCACCAATCACTAATTAAGAAAATGCTCTCTTTAAGATAAGCTTGCCTGCAGTCT